CAACACGCTGCGCTTTGGTCTGCTCCTTTTGAAGACGGTCGTGACAGAAAAACCCACCACAAGAGGACCAAGCAGCGTAACAAGCGGCAACAGGACCTACCTACACAGGATTTATGGACGCCTCCAAAGGATTCATGGACATGGGAGGAGATACGGGCTGGAAAGGGTCCTTGGGCACAACCGGAGGAATATCACCGCCCTCGTGAAGAGCTGGAGGCAGCTCAAGCCGAGAGGAGGTGGTATGAGGAGGCAGCACGGAGTCGTGGCTGGAAGCCTGTGGGTACTACCCAAGAATTTCTTGGGGGGGGGCTAAGAGGGAGTGTGGCGAAGTCAGGTAGGAGACCTGTGCCTACTCCCTGGACTGACCGTGGAGAGCGAGAGTACGGGCAGACACCGTGTTACGCAGTTGAGCGCATGGTGTCTCCTGTACGCAGGCATAGCCCGGTTCGGTACAGTCCAGCTCCACGTATCGGCCGGGCCAGATTGAGTGTTGAGCCGGATGTCATGAAGCCGGTCCCACGCAGCAGGTCACCAGTGCGTCTCCTCGGGCCGGCGTACATGGCACCAGCCTTACGCATGGTGTTCCCGGTTCGCCCACATAGGCCGGTGCGGGTTATTCCACCTCCCCGTACTGGTCGGGCGACGGGGAGCATCAACCCAGGTAAGGTTGGGCAGGCTCAGTGCTCAAGGGAGCCAGTACGCCTGCACGGTCCGGTATTTCCGGCGCCACCTCCCCGCTCCAGCCCAGTACCACCAGTGCCTACACCACGCACCAAGCCTCCTGTGTGTCCCCAGAGTCCTGTGCGTCCTGTTGCTGCTCCCCGCACTAGCCCTGAGATGCGTGTCCTCAGCCCGGGACCACCAGTTCCGGCACCACGCACCAGGCCTATAGTGCGTCTCGGCCGGCCAGAGTCTGCCGTCTGCCCAGCGGCGCCTGAACTGCCCGTCTGCCCAGCGGCGCCTGAACTGCCCGTCTGCCCAACGGCGCCTGAACTGCCCGTCTGCCCAACGGCGCCTGAACTGCCCGTCTGCCCAACGGCGCCTGAACTGCCCGTCGGCCCAACGGCGCTTGAACTGCCCGTCTGCCCAACGGCGCCTGAACTGCCTGTCTGCCCAACGCCGTCTGAACTGTCCGTCTGCCAAGCGCTGCATAAGCCGCCCGTCTGCCATGAGCCTTCTGAGCCGTCCGCCAGACCGGAGCCGCTAAAGCCTTCCGCCAGACAGGATCAGCCAGAGCCTTCCGCCAGACAGGATCAGCCAGAGCCTTCCGCCAGACAGGAGCAGCCAGAGCCTTCCGCCAGACAGGAGCAGCCAGAGCCTTCCGCCAGACAGGATCAGCCAGAGCCTTCCGCCAGACAGGATCAGCCAGAGCCTTCCGCCAGACAGGATCAGCCAGAGCCTTCCGCCAGACAGGATCAGCCAGAGCCTTCTGCCAGACAGGATCAGCCAGAGCCTTCCGCCAGCCAGGATCCGCCAGAGCCGTCCAGCCAGGATCCGCCAGAGCCGTCCAGCCAAGATCCGCCAGAGCCAGCCAGCCAGGATCTGCCCCTCAGTCCGGTGCTGCCCCTTAGTCAGGTACTGCCCCTTAGCCCGGTGCTGCCCCTTAGCCCGGTGCTGCCCCTTAGCCCGGTGCTGCCCCTTAGTCCGGTGCTGCCCCTTAGTCCGGTGCTGTCCCTTAGTCCGGTGCTGCCTCTTCGTCCGGAGCTGCCCCTTTATCCAGGTGGGTTAGTTTGGAGGGTGGTCAGTGGGAGGAGGCTACTTAAGCAGTTTGTGACTTTGGTGGGGTGGGGATCACGACCGGGGCCAGAGCCGCCACCGTGGACAGACGCCCACCCAGACCCTCCCCTAGACTTTATGTTGGTGCGCCCGGGGTTCGCACCTTTAGGGGGGGGGTACTGTCACGCTCTGGTTCCGGGACGTTGTTTATGAACCAGGGTGTGTTCGTTTTGTTGTGTGCTGTTTGGTTGGGGTGTCTAGGTGGTTGTCTTCCTTGTTTGTATTCATGTGACTCCCAATCGGAGGTAACGAGTGACAGCTGTCGGCTCGTTATCTCTGATTGGGAGCCATATTTAAACTGTGTGGTTTCACCTTGGTTTTGTGGGTTTTTGCTCCGTATTCAGTATTTGTAACTGTGGACTTCACTAGCCGTCTTTGTTTATTGTTTTTGTCGTTTGTGTCTTTACTCTAATAAAGTCATGTTCACTCAACGCGCTGCGCTTTGGTCTGCTCCTTTTGAAGACGGTCGTGACACAGGCATTGACAGGACGATCACAGCCACACGTTCACTGCTCTCAGAATATTTATTTTTATTTTTATTTCACCTTTATTTAACCAGGTAAGCCAGTTGAGAACAAGTTCTCATTTACAACTGCGACCTGGCCAAGATAAAGCAAAGCTGTGCGATAAAAACAACAGAGTCACATATGGGGTAAAAAAAACATAAAGTCAAAAATACAACAGAAAATATATATACAGTGTGTGCAAATGTAGCAAGTTATGGAGGTAAGGCAATAAATAGGCTATAGTGCAAAATAAGTACAATAGTATTAACACTGGAATGCTAGATGTGCAAGAGATTATGTGCAAATAGAGATACTGGGGTGCAAAAGAGCAAAATAAATAACAATATAGGGATGAGGTAGTTGGGTGGGCTAATTTCAGATGGGCTGTGTACAGGTGCAGTGATCGGTAAGGTGCTCTGACAACTGATGCTTAAAGTTAGTGAGGGAGATAAGAGTCTCCAGCTTCAGAGATTTATGCAATTCGTTCCAATATCTCAGACTGAATCCACAAAGTGATCGTATCGTGTACATGCGTTGTGTTTAGAAAATAACAAAAATACAGAAAAGCATACCTGCAGTAAAAGATATCAAACAGTGATGACATGCATTGACAGGACGATCACAGCCACACGTTCACTGGTTAGGTAGGACACAAGATATCTTTTAGATAGGAGCAACAGTAGTGATACATACCCTCAATGTGAAGTAATATTAATCCATAAATACAGAGCACAAGTACAACCCTTTTATATAAACCTTTTAAGGTAGTAAGAAAATAAACATTCACTTAATTTCAATAAGTCACCTGCTAGCAAATCACCTGCTGGCAATAGCTAGCGTGATGTTGTAGTGCAGTGACCAACGGTGCTAGTTAGCATCATTAACATGGCTAGCTAAGCCAGCAAAAACTTGGTTAACTTGCTGAAATAGGTCTTCAATACATTAACGGCAAAATAAATATATACATAGCCACATTTGCTATTGACTTTAGGCTATATGAATCAGTTTTCCAAAAACACTTATATTATACCGTTTTTAACAGTTTTTTATATACAGAGGAAGGAGACACGAACCTGCTCTCAGAATATCTCTCTCAGACTGAGGAGCAGGCAGACCAACTTCCCAAATAGGGGAGAAGCACTCAAAACCCACTAGTTTTTCTTTCAAAATAAAATAGTACATAAAATGGTGAGTCCGAAGACCTCTCGTATTACCAACCTTACTACAATGGCAGCAAATATTCTTATGAATTCAGTAACACAAAATTAAAGGAAACTTTCTTTATATCACCCCTTTTCCTGAAGTGAATGGTTTCACCCACTACTCTACCGCGAACTGCGGCGTTCTTTGATGTCTACATTGCGCGCGAGGTTGATGGAAACTCTACATTTTCACTTTGTTACACTAGCTAACGCACACCCAGTTTGTGAATATGTACATTTAGCCTTCGTCATTCTTCTGAGGTGGAACGTAAACGTGCATTTCATCTCTAGGACTTGAAATTACTTCAAAATAGTGGCGGCAACTTGCTCTGGGTGGGTCCTTTAATACATTCTATGCTCAATTCGAGGCAGACAATAATGTATTCAAGGAGACCACTATCGTCCCAGTGCCCAAGAAAACCAAGGTGACATGCCCAAATGACAATCGCCCCATCACACTCACCCCTGTCATCATGAAGTGCTTCGAGAGGCTGGTCATGGCCCACATCAAAACCAGCATACCCACTCCAATTTACGCCTGTGGGAAATTATTCTCTTATATTTTGCTTGGAAAATTGAAGAAACTGTGGGAGGAGAAAACAGGACAGAAGGAACGGACCCGTTTATACCCACCCCTACCAACAGCGCCACCACCATATGACGACCACCCAAAAACAATGGCTCCGGTTCTGGACATAGCGGGAAAAGTCCACTATCAACAAAGGACAGATGAGGAGGAAGAAGGAATGTGGGTCAGAAAGAGCGATATGACTGACAGAAGGAGAGAAGTGGACGTACTTCTAAAAGCTGCAAAAGCGCTAGAAAAAGGAGTGTTTGAACTGAGTAGAATCGAGGGAGAGACGGGGAGCAGATGCGGAACAGAAGGAGGAGGAAGTGTTGACGGAGACGGTGAGAGTGAGAAGGAAGAGAGAATGAGCCTAACTGGAGGAAACGTAAGGGGTGGTCTAGCCCAGGGGGAGTGGCAACGAAACAAGGATGCTGAAGAAGAGGAAAGGAGGGAGAGACTTGAGAGACAGAGAGATGAAGAACGACTGGAAAAGTTGAAGATGATAAAAGAGGAAGTACGGCACCAGGAAGCACAATTGCACAAGTTAAAGATGGAGCTCGAAGCGAACAAAAACAGAAGTGAAAGTGAACGCTCACCAGTAAGGGGATACTGTATTGACCTCAGAGACGGGGAAGAGAGTGAGGAGGAAAGAGTGAAACAACAAAAACTCATATGTGGAGTTTTTGATGGAGACATATGGGACAACAATGATGGACCCGCGTACCACACCCGAGCCAGGGCCCAGACCAGAGAAGGACACAAAGGGGGGCAGTACCCGTTGAGGGAGACCCCAGGGGGGCCTCAGTTTACAAGCCATGGGCCCACAGAGACATACAGACCCTGGTGGACAGTCTCCCCCAACCTGAAGAATCTGGACACAGATGGGTGAAGGCTTTTGAGAGTCTCACCGCAGCGGATGAACTCACCATAGGTGATATGGTTACTGTAATGAACAGGTGTATGGGTGACCAGGAATGCAAAGAGATAATGACCTCTGGGGGACTGAGAGGACAAGTGGTGTCGGCTACAAGATTTGACCCCCACCGCAGTGACGTATGGGACGCCATAAGGAGGAAGTATCCTACCCAGGCCAGACCCGAACTGATGAGAACTCTGACATTGAATGACGATGAAACCATACCAGCATACATGAAGAGGGCTAAGTGCCTCTGGAGGCAAGCGTGGAATGAAGAACCAGGAAAAGACACCATGAAGCACCTCTTCCTGACAAACTGCCTGGGGGGACTCCCGGATCAGGCTCAGGTTGAATGTGAAAAAGTTGTGGCAATCACCGCAAAATCGATCCCGGAATTTACCGAGATAGCACAACACCATGTGGAACGATGGAGAGAGGGTAAGCGAAAGGAAGAGGATGAACTCAAACAACTTCAGAAGAAGGTTCTGAAGAAGCAACTGACAGAGGACAAGCTAGGAAAACAAATGGTGGTAACCAGTACCCCAACATCTAATCCTACCACTCCTGCACCCGGAAATGATACTGCTGCTGCAGTTACTGCTGTAGTACAGGCAATGACGGGAATGATGGCACCTTCTGGTCCTCCTGGATATGGTGCACCTGCATACCGACAACCCTATGTGCAACCACAACAACAGGGGTACACCCCTAGATACGCTGACCAAGGGTGTTTTAACTGTGGGGTGTATGGCCACCTGGCAAAATACTGTAAGCTCCCAAGACAGGGACAGCAAAGAGGGAGGGGATACATGGGACAGTCAAGAGGACAAGCACCGAGATACCAACGAGGGCGGGGAAGCTGGCAAGGAGGAGGAATGCCAGTCCAGCAACACCAACCGCAACCACAACAACAGGACCAAAGACATGACACATCAGTGCCTAATGCTGCCCTCCTGCCCAGCATGTCATGGCTGGGTGACAAACACAATTACCAATGAAGCTGCCCAGAAACCCATAAGGACCTTACCACCAACATCTACACCTTCCCACCAGGTTCGGAGCCGGTGGTGACATGTTTGATTGGAGGAAGAAAACATAATATGCTGATTGATACAGGATGCACATGGTCTTCTGTACAAGCAACATATCAACTCACTACCAAAACACAAGCTTTCTCTGGGGTTTCTGGGGCTATTATGAGAAAGCCATACACAGTTCCATTGGAGGTTGTATGGGATGACCTACAGGTTACCCATCAGTTTCTATACAACCCCGAATGCTCGGTGGGACTCATGGGGAGGGACCTGCTTTCCAAACTGGGATGTAGTATCTATTGTAACCAGGAGGGCCTGCACGCATCCATCACGCCCATTGATGAACTCATGCCAGTAATCATGGAAAAATTCTCCGACCCCCCTCGCATGCTATATGTGGGAACACACCTAAACGAGGAAGATGAGGAGGAAGCATATGTTTACTGGCTGAAGCTCATGGATACTGACCTTGATGCTCCCCGAGTATGCAGAGAGTTCCAACCATGGAAGGCCTAGATACAGACCTTAAATGCATACTATCCACCTGAGGACCCTCCGCACATGACAATGAACTATACAAGGGACTTGGATGAAGCATATGATGAAGCCTGGGAGGAGGAAATGGACGATAGGCGCCTGATTGTGACCAGCAATCATATGTACATACTCAAAGAAGGGGTGGCTACCAGCTGCATGGTCATGGATGGAGACGTGGTGGTCACAGACAAATGGTTTGCTCTTCCTAGTGATTCTGTGCCGCAAGTTACCCTTCTCATGGGATTTGGATACGAGGCAAGATCTCTGGGACCTGCAGTAAAGGCAGCAAGTTGCCTACGGTAGAACAAAACCTCTTGTTACAAAGTGGAAAGCGCATTCCTTGATGGAAATCAAGTATGGAGAATTAAACTCAATGTGGATGATGTGTCGAAACCAGAGGTTGTGAGGAGATCACGTTAGCATGGTAGGGAGATGACTGATCATCCGGATACTCCTAACATTTTCAATCAACTACCAGAGGAACTGTGGACAACAAGTGCTGAAGATGTGGGGCTGGTTGATGTAGAACCAGTGGTTGTCTCCATTCGAAAGGAAAGTGAACTCACTGTCCCAGTTCGCAAATCTCAATACCCTCTCAGTGAAGAGAAGACGAAGGGAATTGAGCCTACGATATCAGGACTCCAAAAAGGACAGGTTATATATCCAACCTCTTCTGCGTGGAATACACCCATCCTTCCAGTGAAGAAAGGTGACACTGGGAAATGGAGGATGTTGCAGGACTTCAGACCAATCAACGAAGTAACTGTACCAGATATTCGATCTGTACCAGACCCATATCTGGCCTTACAGAACATTTCGCCCACCCAAGATTGGTTTACAGTTGTGGATCTCGCCAATGCATTTTTCTGCATCCCATTACATCCAGAGTCTCAGCCACTTTTTGCATTTACCTACAGAGGGCAGCAATTTACGTATTCTCGTCTTCCACAAGGCTACCGTGATTCCCCGGGAATCTTCAACGCTATCCTGAAGAGCCACTTGGAAGAACTAACATTTCCCGAGGGGGTGACGCTACTCCAATACGTTGATGATCTTCTGTTGGCAGCACCCACTGCCGAGTCTTGTTTGCAGGCCACCAAGTCCCTTCTCCTGTTGGTAGCCAAAAAGGGATACAAGTTAAAGAAAGAGAAAGTGCAGTGCTGTCGGAGAAGTGTCCAGTTCCTGGGAAGAGTGCTGTCCGGGAAGGGACAAGCTGTGTCTGTGGCCCAGAGGACCTCCATTTTGGAACATCCCAAACCCACTACTGTGCAACACCTCTTGTCTTTTCTTGGTCTTACTGGTTACAGTAGAACACACGTGCCAGAATATTGTCTCAAGGTGGAGCCACTGCGGGCCATCTTGAGGGAAGCAGGAAACAGAAACCTCACAGCAGTCCTGAAGTGGACACCGGAAGCGGAAGCTGCTTTTATCCAACTCAAGCAGACGCTAGCCCAGGCTGAAGCACTTTCCTTACCTGATTACACCACGCCATTCTGTTTGGATATTTCTGAGCAGGATGGGTATGTGCATTCCATCCTTTATCAGAAACAAAAGGGGGAGAGGAGAGTGTTGCACTATTACAGCGCGAAATTGGACAACATTGAGACAGGACAAACTGACTGTGCCAGACATATGGCTGCAATCGCTAAAGCTGTAGGAAAGACAGCTCACATTGTGATGAGGCACCCACTGGAAATCAACACAGATCATGGGGTGACCGCCTTTATAGGCTCAAAACTATTCACCCTCTCCAGCAAAAGAAAATCCAGCATAACAAAGGCCATTACAGCACGACACATTACATATGCAACAACAGCCACCAACATGACGGACGGTATGGGCCTTGGAGAACCACATGTCTGTGAGGATAGAGCAGCCAAACAAATCAAAGTCCGAATGGACCTGCAAAACTCACCCTTGGAAGGGAACAAGATCACCCTGTTTACGGATGGATGCTGCTACAGGTCAAAAGACCCAAAGGAAGGAAACATTGCTGCCTACGCTGTAGTGAAACAGGACACAGAAGGAGGACATGAGGTATTGGAAGCGGAAAAGTTGGGTCCCAATGAAGCCTCAGCACAACTAGCAGAACTTAGGGCACTGAGGAGAGCACTCCAACTGAGCAAGGGAAAGGAGGTGGACATCTACACGGACTCTGCCTATGCACATGGGATTGCACACCTTAACCAGCTCGAATGAGCCCATCAAACATAAGGTTGAGGTACAGATGCTTATTGGAGCAATCCAGTGGCCGAAATGGGTGTCAATAATGAAGTGTAAAGGACACAGCAAAGAGAGCACGAAGGTACGTGAGGGAAATGATCGAGCTGACCAAGCAGCTAAGGAGGCAGGAGGATATACTGCTCAACAGATGATACAGAGAGCAACTCAAGGCCAAGAGGATATAACAGAAGACACAGTAAGACAGCTACAAGAAGCAGCAGATGTTTACGAACAGAACGTGTGGAGCAGGCAGGGAGCAAGGAGGGACCACCAAGGAATCTGGAGGTCTCATACAGGAAAAACAGAAGAACACGAGAAGGCACATGGAGGATGGAAAAGCGTATCAAAGGCGGTTGAAAGAGCATGGTGGCATCCACACAGGTTGGACATGGCAAGAGAGACATCAGAAAGCTGTGAAGTATGCAAACAGTATAACAACAAAGTGTCACTCGGAGCAGTGATAGGCAGCTTCCCAATACCTGACGCGCCATTTCAAGACATTTGCATAGATTTCACGGACATGGGACAGGACAACAGAGTGGAAGGAAAAAGATACCTGTTGGTAATGGTTGACAGATTCACCAGATGGGTGGAAGCCATCCCCACAGCAAGGGAAGACGCAAAGGCTGTGATTAAATGGCTGAGGAGGGACCTCATCCCAAGGTTCGGGGTCCCGCGAATGGTCCGTTCCGACAACGGTACCCATTTCAAGAATGAACACCTGAGGAAGGTAGAGCAGGCCCTAGGAATCACCCACAAGTTCGGGTCAGTGTACCACCCCCAATCGCAGGGACTTGTAGAAAGAGCTAACCAAATGCTGAAACGAAAAATGGCCAAAATCATGGCCGGAACTAAGCTGAAATGGGTAGATGCGCTGCCCCTAGCTCTAATGTCAATGAGAAACTCACCTGGGTCTGACACCCATTTAACGCCCCATGAACTCATGACAGGGCGTAGAATGCCAGGACCACCAGCAGACAATCTTAGCATGCCTAGACTAGACATTGCAAAAATCAGATACATAGACTACATGCAGGCATTAACCTCTCTTGTTGAAAGACTGTCCAAACAGGTGGTGGAGGTTCGCACTCCTGCTGTCGAGACCACAGACGAGAACAGAGACGTCCTGGTGGGAGATTGGGTGAGAGTAAAGGTGCATTCCAGGAAGTGGACGGAACCAAGGTGGGAAGGACCGTTCCAGGTGAAGGAGGTATCAAGTCACTCACTGAGGGTGAATACAAGTAAAAAGGACGTGTGGTATCATAGAACATACTGTGCAAAAGACACGGTCCCAGGGAGGACTCTAGACCAGGTACAGCAGGACATAGCCACAGGGGGAGAATGAGAGTGCTGTGGGTAGTATGGGGACTTACATTGTGGGGGGTCATAGCTCAAGGAGCAGGGACCATAGTCATTACGCTGGAAGAAGGGGAGTCTCAAGTGGTAACCCTAGAACCGTGTAAAATATGGTCCTGGAGAAATAGAGCAAGTGGAATTGGTGAGATTATCTGTCCTTGGGACCCAAAGGGGGGATGTAATGTGTTAGTGCCCTATGCAAAATAACGTGGTACATACCTATGTGAAGGGAAATGGTGTCCATATTGGGATTACATGGTCACTAATGTAGGAACCTTTTGGGAGTGGCGGAGAAGCTACCCATATGCATTAAGTGATGTGTCTAAAGCAGCCAGGTTTTCAATGATACGGGGTGTGCAGGGATCAGCAAGCAGCATGTGTAAAGGCGATGAAATCCTACTAACCATACAGGATATTAAGCTTACAGATGCGGGTGTTTACACTCTGGGAGCGGAGCACACTGGACCGGACACAATGGGTATGTTTACCATTGCAGTCACACCCAAACCTCCAACTGGGCAGGGACAGACCCAGTCAAACCACACTACCACTCCAGGACCAGCTCAGCCCCAACCCACGAAGGTACCAAACCCCGTTCAGGTGACTAATGTTAGGGATTTTACGGACAGTGACCAATTGGGTACAGAAACTGGGTATGAAGAGAGGGAAAATATGTGGTTAGCCTACATGAGGTATACGGCTAGAACACTGGGCAGGCAAAAGTGTGTTATCTGTGGGCATGCTAGACCCGGACTGGCAACCCACCCATTTGCTTTAGGAGAAGGGGAGGGATGGCAGTGCATACTGGAAGAGTTCTATCACTCGCTACCAAACACCACCCTGTGTAAAGCTCTAAGTTTGATTTTTCCTGAGGTTCCACCACAGAAGGCACCAGGAGGAGTTAAGGCTTATGGGGGTAATTACAGCTGTATCACTGGGACAGGTAAGGGTGTTAACTATGGTAGATTGCCGTCTGGGGACTGTGCTGTAAATGTAACCATGAACAGCACTTGGCCTGTAAAAGGTTGGAATCAGACGAAGGGGGTTGCTGATGTGTGGTGGATTTGTGGCCCGGATAGAAGACTGATCCCGATTCTAAAGGGGGACTGGCAGGGTACATGTGCTTTAGCTAGTTTAATTGTTCCACTGACCATTATTTATGTTTCCTCAGACCAACTTTTGGGAATCGCCCAATTAACTCCGGAGAATGAGGGTGTAAGGCAGAGGAGGAAGTGTAGTGCCCCATGGTCAGCGGGGGAGGAAATCCATCCTAATTTGTTGGGGGTGCCTGTGGGGGTAACATCAGAGTTCCAGGCTCTTAACAGGAACGATGGGTTATGGCACCTGGTGCCGATCATAGGTCCAGCAATAGATGCTGCTAAACAGCGATCCTGGATAAACTATATCTATTATAATCAACAGAGATTTGTTAACACACGTACTGCCCTGACTGGAATGTCTGAGCAACTAGAGGCCACCTCTAGGGTGGCTAGGCAGAATAGGCTGGCACTAGATATGATGCTTGCTAACCAGGGAGGTGTATGTAAAATGTTTGGGGAACAATGCTGTACGTTTATCCCTAACAATACTAGCCCTGACGGGAGCATCACTAAAGCCCTTGTTGGCCTGGATAAGTTATCTGCAGAGATGAAGAGCATGGGTGGAGTGGAGAGTGGTGGGCTATTCTCCTGGTTGAACGACTGGTTTGGTAAGTACTCAACTATGGTGGTTACTGGATTTCTGACCCTAATCGTTGTGTTCTTGATCCTGATGTGTTGTGCCGCTTGTATCATCCCCTGGCTCAGAAAGTCGGTCACAGATGTCGTGCATGCTGCTGGTATGATGCCTTTGCTGAAGGCTCAAGAAGGAGATGCAGATATTGAGTCTGGTTTTCGGAGGAAACTGGGGTTGACAGAAGATGACCCTTGGTTTGCTATTGGTGAGGTGGTAGAGTGACACCCTAGTGGGTGTCTACGGGGGGTTTAAAGTTCCTGGGTGGCTGGTAGCCAACCTAGTACAAGTTAGGTGTAGATGGAAGGACTGAAGGCCTTTTTATTATCATTATTGCCTATTAATAAAAGTGTGATTATTTTTGTTTGTATTGTATTTTAATGAGTGACACCCTAGAGGGTGTCAAAAGGGGGAATCCTAAATTTCCCTGAAATTTCTTATTCTGGGTTTTCTTATTTTGGGTTCACAACCAGTGGGTGTGAAAGGGGGGATTGTGGGAAATGATTCTCTTATATTTTAGATGTGCTGTTAGCTTAATAAGAAAGCATTAATGATTAAACATAAAAGGTTTGTACTGTACTCAGTGGCGGCTCCTGAAATAATTCTCAGGGGGGGCAATTTTTCTGATGATTTAGGTGACCTACACACATTTTAAAAAAGATATGTCCAGCAACAACATGAAGACAGGGGCAGCATATAAGTCAATGCCAGAAGCATTTATTGACTGATCTCAAAAGTGTTGGCTTACAAAAGCAAAATAAGTTATCACAGTAAAAATAATCAAGGGTGTTCTTTCACATTCCTCAACACTGCATAAACAATATGCATTTCCATAAACAAATGAAATATCAGCTGAAAATACAGCATCTTGGTATTTGTTCAGATTGCAGGATCAACAAGAGCTTTTACCACATTTTTTGCCTCATGGTTGAATTGGAAATATGTGCACCTGAGCATAATTCACAACAAGCAAGCAGGAGCTTTTGATAGAGGCTACTGAAAACATTGATGCAAGTTATTGGTAATAAGAAATTTTTATAGACTTCCATATTCTGCCCTCTTGTATAGATTTGTGAAAATGAACAGTGATAGACATTTTGCCTGAAAACAGAATTTGAAAATAATTTATAGAAAAGGTAAACACAGCTATCTGTATGGCTTTGTAAAAATGAACAACCATATTCTGGCCAATTGTATAGATTTGTAAATATGAACAACCATATTCTGGCCAATTGTATAGATTTGTAAAAATGAACATGAACAGATTTTTTTTTATTTTTAACTTTTTTAAAATTTTTAAACAACATCAACTGTGAACTGATTTGGGCGTGTGTGTGTTAAAGAGACAGACAGGGAGGGACAAAGAGAGAGAGAGGCTACATTACTTGTACTGAAACTGTTCTCTTCTCTCTTTCAATGCAGCAAAGCGGTCAATGACTTTCTCATTGAAATCAGGCATGCTGAGGACTAGTTCCCTCTCCATGGAAAGCATGGCCAGTGCATTCAGACGTTCCTGGCCCATTGAATTTCGCAGGAATGTCTTAACTCGTGTCAAAGTTGAGAAACATCTCTCAGCTTCAGCTGTTGTCATGGGAGTAGTTATGAGGATGTTCAACAGAGTCACAGTCTCAGAGAACGTCTCCTGGAGGTTGTAGCTCATGACAACCTGGTACAGTGCCAGTGCACCACAGTTTGACTTTCTCGTCGTCGGCAAAAAGACCGTTCAGTCTCTCCAAAAGCACACTGGCGATTGAGACTGAGGTTGATTCCGAGATGGGAAGGAACTCAAAAAAGCGCTCCTGCACTTTGTGGTTGCTATCTATGTACCTCAGCACAAGCACCAGCTGTGTCTGTGTAGAAACGTCCGTGGTCTCGTCAGCTTGGATAGCTACGAAGTTCGCCGACTTCACCTCCTCCACAATATGTTCCCTCATGACCGCTAGCATACACTCCAGTAGCTCGTTTTGAATGGTCTTTGATGTGAACTTCTTTCAAAGAGACAATCGAGTTGCACTGAACGATAGCCATCTTGATAGTAGTACGTGAATTGATTGACGCTGCTACCCGCTCTTTTCTTAGTTACGTTCATGGTTATGTTACGTATGACGAAAGCGCGTAAGTGCAAGCCCTCAGAAACCCATAGAGATTGTATTGAAAGCTCTGATATTTGAAAAAAAAAGATTTTACATGACAGTCTATGATAGACTTCTGGGGCGATTTTCAACCTGACTGAAATCGCCCCAAAAGGGGCGGGGCCATTTGAAGCACGACTTTAGCCTGATTGGACATTTAGTGGCAGATCAGACGTCTAGATTAGAACACTGATAACTACTGTTGCCGTGATATAATTGATTAGAAAAAAAATCCCTTCCTTTTCCCGTTTGGCAGTGCGTCGCCCATATCGCCCTAATGAACACACCGCCCCTGACTGTACTGATATAAATTGTTTAACCTAACAAGCTGTGATTAATGTGAGGAGCTGTTAGGGAGTAGGGTGAGATAAGGCTTGTGACTCACACTGCCTCTTTGTTGAACTGTCCAAGGACATAGGTACAAAGAGTACAGTTAGAGTGGGAAAGTACAGGAAAACTGTGTCTATGGGTGCTGACTCTCTGGACAAGCTGCAGATAACAACTTATGCCTGGCAACAGTGAAGCGCCAAGGGTCTGGGACCAGCCTGTGCGCCAACGATAGGCTGAGTAAGTCTAAACCATGCTCAGTCTCTACTCTGATAGGCCAGCAGGAAGCGGGAACTATCTCTGTCAGAGTATTTAAAGAAGAACTTATAACAATGGACCAGTTCTCTGTCTGCCCTGCGTGGTATTTCAGTGAGCCCGTATACGAACTCTCATACTTACCATTTAAGCATTTGTATTAATAAATACTAGACTAACTTGGATACTGTGTAATGACCTCTTTTGTTCCCAATACCAGATTTGAATTGACACAACTTATCACGCCCCAACAGACCAATGGAAGATGCCATTTCCATCGATAATCACACTGCCCTAACACATCTGGACAAGAGGAACACCTATGTGAGAATGCTGTTCATTGACTACAGTTCAGCATTCAACACTATTGTTCCCTACAAGTTTGTCACCATGCACAGAACTGGATCCTGGAATTCCTGACGGGCAGACCACAGGCTGTGAGGAATGGCAACAACATCTCCTCCACGCGGACTCTTAACACAGGGGCCCCCCAGGGGTGTGTCCTCAGCCCTCTGCTGTACTCTCTGTTTACCCACGACTGCGA